GCGCATTCCATACACGAAGCTATAAAAATCCATGGATCATCACTGCTGTACTTCCAAGTCCAAAAACTTTGCTAAATTTTTTCACCAAAGAAATTTGAATGAATAGAATAGTTACATTACTTCAGTGCACTAATAACCACTAAATATATCACAATTCAAGTAAAATAAAATAAAATAATTATATAATATAATATAAAAGCATATTTAAAAATATAAATATATTAGTATAAAATAATATAAAAATACATAATTAAAGTTAGGCGCGCCCATGTATTTCACAGGAATCACGTGCTCTGTAGAGACCAGTTTATTTATTGAAAACCAGCCAAGCAGGTCGACAAACGCCATGTATTAACAATAGGTAAAATAACAAATAACAATAATTAGTGATAAAAAAAAGAAAAACAAAATATGGCAAAAATTAACAATTTAAAGATGAAATAAAGAGGAAAATAATAAATAATATAGTACAATTCGAAATAACTATAATCGGATGGTAAAAATCGAAATATCACAATTTCTGCATGATGAGAACTTTTTAAATAATGTCATAAATGATATTATCTAATCTTTTTTTATTCTAATCTATCTTTTTTTAAAGATAGTTAGGGATGACGCACAAGCTATATCGTTCGTTTATTTATTTCAGTTATTATAAGTACCAAGCACAAGCCATATCGTTCGGTAATTTATTCTAATAATTAATAGTATTCTAATAATTATGAATAAAGAAATCTTGAGTCTTTAGTTTTGCACATAAGTTTTAGTAATTTTAGCCCATTAATTTTTGTTGGTTTGAGCAATTTAATATAACCATATAGAATCTTATAAGTATAAATTAAATTTTGTTTAATACGAATACGACGAACTGACAGAGGATACAGGTTATACTGTAGAACTTTTCTTTTTCATAAACTTTGTAATTAAAGTGGCAGTTAGAAGAGAGGCGTCGTATAAAATATTTTTGGAGTCTTTCAATCTTTTTACTTGATTTACGCGATATCTCGGGAATAACATGTAGTATTGTAGTCAAGAAGTGGCCAAGCAAATTCTTTGTATATTTTGATAAGAAAATCTTCAGTTTTGTGCTTAAACGAACGAAAAATAAAATTTAGTATGTTTGAGGATTTCTTTACTGTGGTTCTGCAGTGAAGGTCGAAGTCGAGATTTTCATCCATGATTATTCCAAGATCGTAAATGGACTCTACTGATTATATTACATTAATAAAAAGATTAGGTCCTATAGAAACCTTTAGAATTGATATGAAGAACGCTACATTTTTGAAAGGAAAGGGTAATTTGCCTATCATATAGCCAGTTGGACATTCTGTTGAGGTCATCCTGTTGAAGTCAGTGGAGATAGGCTATCTATTCTACCATGAGAATAATAAATTTTACAATCATAAAGATAAATGGTAGAATTTAGTACACTTCAATTTCACTTTGATGATATCATTTATATATAATGAAAAAAGCAATGGCGCAATATAACTATCTATTATTACGCCAGATTTAACAGGTGACAAGTCAGAAAGAATGTTAACACGTACAGCCTGGTGGCGATCTTTTATACAATCTGGCACCCAGTTATAAGCCTCCCCTCCCATAATATTAAGAGTGATCAATAACTTGCCATAGGAAACAATCAAAAGTTTTGGTCAAATCTGGGTATACAACTGATACTTTTCCATTGTTAATTGATGCTGATCATTCGGAAAGATTTGCCAATATTTGTGAAGAAATAAAATTTTTGTACAAAAGCCATGCTGATAAGAGGATATAAAATTATTGGCATCAAGGTGAGTAAGTAATAGGTAGGCAATTTGTTACAAATCAACCTTTCCAGCACCTTGCTACTAACGCATTTTAGGCTAATAGGCCGGTAATTAGAAGGGTCATAGATATTTCCTTTTTTATAAATGGGAATTATATGAGACAATTCCTAATTTTAGGATTAAGGCCAGACTTCATAATATCTATAAATTAGAAATAGAGAAAGACTCAGAGAGGCAGAGAGGCAACCATGATTTAAACCGCGACTTTTCTTGTGGCATCTTTTCATTATGTTTGATAAATAAAGGAAAAATCCGTTGGTTCAAAAAAAAAACGAAATACGTTTGTATTTTTTGATTATTTAATTCGGAAGAGTGGTTTTGTTGAAATATTTTCGAGAAATGTTGGTCGTATTTTAAAATACAAACGTATTAAAATGTTTTCTGAAAAAAAATAACGAAGGTGCAAGGCGGTCGATTTTATTTTCGTGCATTTTTAAAATTAATCATTGAGAGATTAAGAAAATTATTATTTATTTTATGCTTTTTGCTGTAATTGCGCCAAAGTTTTACTTGCATTTTCTTCCTCATATTTGTGGAGATCGTTTTTTTAAATTCAATTGTTTTGTTGTTTCCAAGGAAGATTCGTTTATTTTTGGTTTTTTCAAGAATTCAATTTTCTTCTTTTTGTTTTTCTTTTAAGCTTTCTCGATAAATACCTTATAATTGCTTACTTACTTGAATTTGAAAGGCCTTCACTATTTTTAATTTTTTATTATCATCGACATAACGAAAATGAGAAATATTCTAAAAAAATTAAAAAAAACGTAATAATTTTAAAAAAAAATTGACTTAATGCATAACGTTTTAAGGCTCAAAAAATAAAATGATAAAACGATGATAATTTAATGAAAATCAGCCTAAATGCTTTTAAGGTAAATGCTTTTAAAAATCATTACAAAAAATATAATAAATATAAATTATCATATATAATATATATAATATAAAATATAATAAATAAGTAATCAAATGCCTTTTTGAAATGTCAATAAATAATTTTTAATTTTAATTTTATTTTGTATAAAAAATCATTTATGAATTTTTCAAATGCAGAAATTTGATATATTGAAAAAATTTTAATATTTCGCTTTCGAATGAATATGTACAAAGGAATATCAATTATCTTAGAGCGTGTGGAAAAAAAATGGATGATTGATGCGAAGAACCAAGAATTGAAGTTTAGAAGTTCGATAATAGTTTAGTGGTTCGATAATAAGCTAAGTAGGCTAAATAAATGAAATAATTCAAATTGTCTGATCTGATTACATCAGTTGTTTTTGATATTATCCATCGGAAGTTTGGCAATTCTTGTGATAAACACAGTGATGGACACAAGCAGTAATCCACTATACTATTTAAGCAATGGTGGATGTAGTTTGAGATTCTAAACGCATAACCAAGTGTTTTATTTAAGGTCAAAAGGAACTTCTTCGAACAGTGAGAAGACAATATAACATAATGTAGCAATTCCTTCCAGGTTTCTTAAATCTTCTAACTTCTATTGAAAAAATCCGCTTAATAAAATGGAATGATTCTATTATTTAATAATCGCATTGAAAGAGCCTAATTTTAGGCTTTTCATATTTTAGACCAATTAAAAAACAAATTTCCTCCAATCACTTTAGTGTTAACGAATTGAACTGGCCCAAGAAGTAAGCTTGCTCTGCCAAAACAGGTTAAGACTTATGCTACTTGAAATAAGGATATTCTCGACAACTATTTGGGGGATTACAATAATTTAGATGTTCTTGTCTAAATAAGCCTTAAAGGTGTGGCTGGCTCAGTGGCAAGATAATTACCACTGAGAGGCTTGGATTCGAATCCACCGATGCACCACTCTCTGTCGTGCAACAGTGTTTTTTCTTCTTCTAACGGCTCTCACTATTACTGGTTAGGCTGGCTCCAATGACTACAAAAATAAGACGTTTCCAAGCGACACAGTCTGATGCCATCGTTGATAATAACAGAAGCGACTTTATTTTCGATCGTCTCAATCCATATATTGCTAGTCCATCTATACGTTCAAAATCTTTCTAACCATATCTAACCATATCAGACCAGGTCTTGATTGGTACACCTCCCTTTTGACACCATCTATCACAGAATTTAGAAAATGATGAAATAGGTGTCACTCGTCTGATGAGCGACGAAGAACGACATTTCGTTAACTGGAAGAACGCATTTCCAGCTGCCATTATCCGAGTTGTAATTTCGTTTTTTGCTGGCCATCTGATATTAGAGTGGATCCAAAGTATTTAAAATAGGTAGTATCGAGTAGCGGAGAAAAAAAAGGAAGATACTTAGTAGGTTGCTGCCCAGAGTTCAGAGCGTAGATGCTGAAGTTCTAGTCCCGGTAGGAATGGAGTCGACCAAAAATCTGGTTGATGCTGGCGACTCACCTGTACTTCTATCGCCAAGGACTCCCTGCCATATTTGTCTATTGCGATGAACCAGAAATGCGAATCTTATTAATGCTCTAAAAAAAATTAGAGACCAAATTAAAGACCTTTAAAGACCAAATCATGTAAGCCAATAGCCATGATAGTTCAATATTATTTTCTTTCCCAAAGTTCATTTCTCCGCAACAATTGGAATTTATTGCGTTTTTTAAATAGATTTTATCGAAGGAATGCTTTGCAGTGTGAATAACGAAATTTCATTGTGACTCGTAACACTTCGAGTACATTTAATTAATATCAACATCAACAACGATATTATTTTTCTTCGTTGAAAAAGACGAGTTTAATTTGAATTAGGCTTATGGAATGACTAAACTGGACGGACTGCGGAGATATGAAAACCAATTTTCGTCAAGAAATTCTAATAAAGGACAAGAATGAACAACTATCAGAGCGCCATCTGGAAAATGGCAAAAATGGCAAGCGCATTCAGCTCTTTCTACCTTTCCGGATTACAGTTTTAAATCACGAGCGAGAGAATTGGATAAATTGTGTTGAAATCGAATTATTGGTTAGATTAAAAGTTTACACTGGAAAAAAAATGGAAACATTACGTATTCAGGAAACATTTTTATTATCATCTTATCCTATTATTAATGTAAGAAAAAAGTCTACGGTAGCAATTAATGTTTTATGTGAAAAAGAAATCGAAAAATATCGGAAACGATAATCACGTTTTTAATGATATTGATCAATGTCAAATCAACTTTCATGCTTGCAGCTCTCGTAAAATGAGTTTATCAGCGCGTTCCATGCCAAGTTTCATTTGACGTAAATGATCTATAGTGCCTTTCTTTGGTTCAATTCCAATACAACCACGAAATCGAAGAGTAAGCACTCGTTCGAGATCATTATAAATCGTACTAGACAGTTCATTTAACATTCTTCGCATCTCCAGCTAAAATAAATTCAATGTACGTTCTGTGAAGAACCATTCTAATTAAATTCATCAAATCAATGGGCAGAGTAGTTGATTTGGTCAAGGATTCGGATCCTACCTTCAACATGAGCAAGCCCGTGAAGGAGAGGCCCTGCTTCATTTAAGAATTCAGATGGCACCAACAATGCATTTCTATTTCTATGACCATGTTAACAGTGATGGAGAGAAGATTTTTACCTTTTAGAACACAAATTTATAAAGGAATAAATCGTCGATCGATCTGGCTGAACACTGGCTGCGCCATGGCTATTTTGCCAATTCCTTTACTTATTGTTTTCTTATTTTTTATTTAGATTTAAGAATGTTGAATGAACAAAATTTTTTCACATGATAATCATTGAATTTCAATAGCCAACTGATTCGATCATCGTTTATTCTTGCTTTATCGATATTGTATCGAATAAGTTTTTCAGCAGCAGTCATCTCCTCGTCCAAATTTATCAAAAATACATGGATTTTATTCTAAAAGATTTTTTGGAAAATTGAGATATAATTTAAATTCAAATTCAAGTTTAAGTTTGGGAAATAATAGAAATTTTTTTATTACAAAACTTAAAAATAAATTCAGCTGAATTTATAAATAAAAACCGAAGATTCGTCAAGGAAAGAAATTTATAATTATAATTATGTTGCATTAATAAGAAAAGAGTGATAGGTACCATTAAAAAAATAGATGCTAAAAATCTATGAAAAAACGATCCCCAGGATTCAACCTCCTTATTGAAATTTCGGAAACTTTCAGCATAGTTATTAAGATGGCTTATTACTAATTTTATCAGTTTTTTTTTCGAAGAGTGCTCATCTCTTCTGGTTAGGCTCATTCCACTGGATTGTCGGGAATGCAATCATTAGAAGCACAAATCTCCAGGGAGTTTGAACGATCTTACAGTTAATAGAGCTCTAGCATTAGCAGCGTTATGAAGGCAACAACCTACTGAAAATAACAGCTGTGTCATTCTACCTATTTTAAAAATAAATCTATTACCATAATGCGCTCATTTTTGGAATAAATTGATTTTTTCCCGGCATATATTCAGTGATAAACTTATATAAAACTTATATAAAAATAAAGAACAAGAATTTTGATCGAAATATAGGTCACGGTGATAGATATGACACTTATCAAATAATCATTATCACTGATTTATATTTTGGTAGTCAAGCGTATTAGATTTTACAAAACCATACTGACCCATTAATAATATGAGAAACATCGATTTAAATTAACTGAAATAAAATTAAGAACGTCGATTTTGCACAACTCTATCTAAAGTAGATTCAACGAGAATAGATAAATAGTCGTTAAATTAGTATTATTCGCTCGAACAATGCAAAACATGGAAGTTGCTTAACCTGTCTTAAGAAAGAGACAGATATATACTAATTATGAGTCTAATTAGTCTGTTGTGTTGAATAATTAGAGAGACTCGTATGCGAAAGGCTAATGGGAGGTCAGTAACCTTTTATCACCTACGCTTGAACATGGATTGATAATTCCAACTCTTAGAAAACCTTTATTATTGGTGTGATAAGCGAAAATGAACAAGTGAACAAAACAAATATCTTACTTGAAGCTCTTGAATCAGTTCCGCGGAATTTTCACATTTCTCGCAAATATCATGGGAAAATTCATAAACGAGATTGACAATCGTTTTTAACTGAAATAATCGGCTGAAAAACAAATCCGCAGTCTCAAAAAAAGGATTTCATGACCTCTTTTTCTGTCCAAGTGCCATTTCTGGTTAAATTCGCTCTGCTGGCTTTATTAAAGAATCATCTGGTGAATATATAGAATGAACTGCTAGCACCACGCGGATCTTTGAAAGATTCGTTCACTGGTTTATTTCTTAGGAAATAGACTTTTACCTTGCCTTTGCGTGCCTTTTTACCCGCGGTGTAATTGCTCGTACGAAAAGGTTACAAACAATTGAATGGTTGACCATGGAACAGTCTCTGCACATTAAATAGTCGTTTTTTTGGCTTTTAAGTAAATTTAAAAAACAAAAATTGTTTGGAACCTGTGTGCAAATATGCGAAGAAATCAATGCAAGTTCGTTTTTAGAAGCGACACCGCGTTCTGAAATCGTTGTTTCACAATCAACTAAAGACGACTGATTTATAAGGGTTTCTCTTATCAGCGAATTAGCGGACGAGTTACCAACTGGATTGAGCCAAGGTAATGATGACGCTGAAAATGTTTCAGCGTCCATTTTATAACCGTAATCCGGAAAATACTGGTCATACATATACAAATACTGGTCTTTTCTCAAACGTATTTTCTGCAAATTGAAAAAAAGTAATTAATTTATTTAAGTAGAAAAAGTCGATCGAAAACGAAAATTTTTTGAAAATAATAGAGTTTAAAAATTAAATTACTTGTTAATTCCATGATGTTGGTCCCCAGGACCAAAAAGAACTTCTCTCACCAATTGTTTTATTGATTTTGCCTCTGCTTTCGACATAATTGATAGAGCAGCTGGAGGGTATTGGTGACGGTGTTCCAAAGAAGGTCATTCGACACATAAAGGCATTTAACCATGGCGCATGGGGAATTAGCGATTTCTTTCAAAATAAGAACCGTTGTCCATCACCTTTTCCTTTCCCTTACAATGTTCAACTATGTTATTGCATGTACTCAAAAGGTTTTTGCTGATAATTACGAAAAAGTGCAAGTGCAAGAAACACAACGTATCGGCAACTGCAGTGGAAATCAGACTCAAGATCAAAGCAAATAAGACGAAAGTTCGCCTAATATTTTTTTTTCTAAAAATGAGCTAGGCTCGTTCTGCATCATGGTGAATCGCCAGCATTAACCGGATTTTTAAAGGATAAATTTTCAAGCCTCAGCATCGACACTGCGAATTGAGCAATAGCCCGCAGAGCCATTCTATCCCTTTTTGCGTTGGCTAGATTCGAACCTGAAAAATTCTCGATTCTCAATGGCAGTTATTTTGTTATTAAGTCACTATTTCATACCAACGTTGATGGATTGCTCATCTCTAACATTATGTCATTAGTTGAAGAATTATCAGACTATGATTCTATCAAACTCTTCTATCAAACGACAACCTCGCAAAATTACACCTCGCAATTTTTATCTGGTGAAACCTGTACGGAAACGGTCTTGGGCACATTTTATATGCTGATGGATAGTGCGGAAAACGAGGAAGGCCGAAGGCCTAGAGGATATAGTAAGAAATGATATAGGCAGCACAGCGATATATGGACTTAGACGATGGAAAAAGAAGTGGCTTCTGTTACTCTCAGGAATGACATGCGATCGAATGGCTTATAAGCGAATACAGCCAAATGAGCAGAATAGTGCCAGCGTTAGAAGAAGAAAAAGCGTTTTTCAAATTTTTCTTGGAAGCGATTAAAACAATAAGAAAAAAATTAAATAATAGTCATAAAATTAAATATGAATTGCTGAATCGAAAAAAGGAGAAAACAATTCGAATGCGAAAGAGTTCGTTTAAAGATGAAAAATTTGACATTGAAATAAATATTTGGCAAAATCTCACCAAATTTGCGTTCTCCGACATCATTAAATTCATCAACCATTATCAGAACGAATCGAAATAACGTCGAAGAACCAAAAATGCCTTTCACAATTTCAAAACAGTTTTCGCAAGAGCCGTAATGTCGAAAGAAAATCTATCATCATATGCAGCGGAATTTGCTAAATTTACGTGAAGCATTGGAGTTAAGATAATTGTGAAAATCGGCAGTGGGCAAAAAGGATTATTTAACGAGTATTCACTTGGCTCTTAAGACCACTTTTTTCAGAAATAAGGATTTGCTTTATAAAAGAACGAAGATTTTGACTGATAAGAAAATTAGCTGTTACTCTTATTGCTCTTCGCCAAACAATATGCATGTGATTCGTATTGTGTGTCGAACAAATCAGTTATATAAATTATTTTACATTCAAATATAATACATTACAATAATATAATACATTTATAATACAATACGTTATAAGAAAATATTTAAGAAAATTTTATCACAAAATGGCATCGATTATGTCAACTGATTTGCTGAAAGAAATGACCATGATAAGAGATTTGATAATTGATTTTCATTCATAAAAATCGAGCATAAAAGAATTAAAATTAGAAAAATACCCATTGGTCGGCATTCTCTCTTGACTCACTTAAGTGCATTCGGCGACGTTTGATTCGTATATTTTTCGCAGCCTAAATTTCATAGAACTTTATTTCATGAAAATTAAAACGTTATGCAAAAATGCAAAAATTAAAAAATTTTTAAAACCAAAAAATCCAACGGATATAATGAATAACATAAAAAGAAAAGGATTATCGTTTTCCTAAAATTTTTCAAAGGAAAAAACGAGCGAAACTGTTCTTTTCTACAATAATGAAGACGAGCAAGACAAACACAACAACTGTAGATTTCTGCTTCGACTGATCACTTCAATTTTCATCACAACTGACATAAACAGCCACATTAAGCCAACAATAGGAACAAACAATAAGAAATTACTATCACCATCAACAATCAATGATAATTCGAAGAAAAAAACTAACCAAATGAGAATTAGGTGATAAACTTTAACAAAAAATATATTTATTTAAAATTTCACATTATCTGGAGAAAATATTTGCATGAATGGATGGACATCTGCAAAAAAGAGCAAAAAAATAGGGTGGGTCTTTAACTAGAAATATCATCAATTTAATTCGCTTAATTCATTCAAAAAAATTAAAATTGGATTATTCGACATAATAAAAAATGCTGGAAAATATTTTAAAAATCCCATTTATAAAAACGCAAGTGCCGCGCTTAAGTGCTGAATAACAAACATTAAAAAAGGAATTATTTCGCTATGGTAATTACTAAATTCAGAAAGTCATTTGAGGAGTATAAGCAGATCAAATCACTCGTAAACTTCTCTCCTATCTAATGAAATATTACTGAATCAAAAAGAAACCGAGTTCCTTCACCTCATATATCAGCCATTTTATTCATTTACCTTAAGCTTCTTGATTCATTTTTTACTTATTTAAAAATATAGCCAAAAAATATTGAAAGTCAAAAAAATCAAGAAATTTCTTTATTTTCGAAATCAACCGAAAAAAATTAAAAATTTATAAAAATTAAAAATTAAAAATTTAAGTTTATTCGAGTAAAAAAGGAAAATTGAAACAAGATTGTAATAATTGAAAAACTTCGGATTTTTTTCCCAAAATTCACTTTTTTTCATTTTTCATTCATTTTTCATTTTTACAATTCATTTTTCCCAACTATTCGGTTCCTTCGATTTTAAGATCCGCATAAAACAAAATATTCCCATACAAAATAATTTGAGAAAACTGGATTTAACGAATCAAATTAATGTTAATATTTTATAAAATATTAACTGCCATAAACAAAAAACAACAAACCACAAATCGCCTAATAATAACTAATAATTTAACTAAAACTTTAACTTTAACTAAAATTTAACTAAATAAAATACTAATTTTTCCTCTTTTTTCTATTAATCAAAGATATAAGAAAACGCCATTAATGATTTAATAGAGAAAAGAAAGATGAAAGAGAAAAACCTTTTAATCGATGGATTTTTCGAAGTGATTAATTTTATTTACAGCAACTAATGATAACCGACAAAGGTTTAATTCATTTCAGTATTCACAAAGAAATGAATTATTATGCAAGTTATATAGGAATTCATAATAGAGCATAGATTCAGAGAAACAAAATAATAAATAAATTGGACTCACTTGTGCTTTGACTGTCGCATAAACCTTTGAATTTTACATGCTGCTGCATGGCGTTTTCGTTGATAATGGCCTCTGTAATACAAAGTGAACAAAAAAATTACTTTCGTACTCCATGTAAGTAAAATGATTCTCGATCTCTGGTTTTCAAAGAGTTCAAAGAGTTTAAGAGTTTAAGAACGGCTAAAAACTTAGATCTATAATATTAATTCTGAAGTCTTTTAGGGCCACAATCGCAGCTTAAGAACCTTAAGAACTATAGCCCCAATACAAATGCATATATATACATATATAATTATGTGAGATTATGTCAAAAATTCAAATTTGCTTTTTGAAAAATAGCAGCAAAGGACTTTCTAAACCTTTATATCTATATAGGTCTATAATATGTTAACATTGCCGTTAGGTTTAACATTATCATTATTTTAACATTATTTAACATTATTTTAGATGTTGTGTTAGTTACTTCTACTTCTCTTGTTGATAGCATTAGACTCTTGGTACCTTTTTGTAATAGTGATCGCAACATCATTCATGCTTCATTAAAATTAAACCGTTATGTAACCCCCTCGAGATATTCTAGAAATTACCGTCATACCGTCTGTGATTATGAAATCTTTAATTCTATCCTCTCAGAAATAAACTGAGATTTCTTATTCTATTTAATTCTCTCTACTGGTAAAAAAGTTAATTTTCTTAATAGCATCATTTTATACCTTATAAAGCAATATATCCCTTTCAGAAAAAAATGCGTTAAGCCGATTCCCATTTTTTTAAAATCTTAAAAAAAATGTCAAGAAGCTTTATAATAAATACAAATTAACCAAATCGCCAAGTGACCAGTCTGCATATCAAGAATGTTTAAAAAGTTTCCGTAGTGCCATTTACAATTACTTTTCAAATAAAGAAGAGCAACTTTTAATAAAAATTCTTTCTAGATCTACATCAAAAGAAAATTTGAAAATCCACGTAAAAAATTAATTCTGCAACATAATGATAATGTGATCGCCTTTGATATTGATATTACAATTTTCAATCAATAATCAATCAATATTTATTATTTAATTAATATTTTCCTACTGTAATTATTGAGGATAATACTCATACTTCTTGTTTTAACGTAAGTCGAATTTTTTACAATTCTCCCGGTGAGGTTGAAATAACACTACTGGATGTTTATGATGGCTTAAATAGACTTAAGCCGTCCATTTCACCTGATCCCGATAATATTCCACAAATAATTTATATATAAATTACATAAAAGGTCGTCACCAAGCTGTATGTGTCAATAACACTCTCTGTCTGACACAACACCAGCAACGTGGTACTAAATTCTTCTATTTATCTTTATGCTGATAATTGTAAAATTTATTATTCTCATGGTAGAACAGATAGCCTATCTCCACTGACTTCAACAGGATGACCTCAACAGAATGTCCAACTGGCTATATGATAGGCAAATTACCCTTTCCTTTCAAAAATGTAGCGTTCTTCATATCAATTCTAAAGGTTTCTATAGGACCTAATCTTTTTATTAATGTAATATAATCAGTAGAGTCCATTTACGATCTTGGAATAATCATGGATGAAAATCTCGACTTCGACCTTCACTGCAGAACCACAGTAAAGAAATCCTCAAACATACTAAATTTTATTTTTCGTTCGTTTAAGCACAAAACTGAAGATTTTCTTATCAAAATATACAAAGAATTTGCTTGGCCACTTCTTGACTACAATACTACATGTTATTCCCGAGATATCGCGTAAATCAAGTAAAAAGATTGAAAGACTCCAAAAATATTTTATACGACGCCTCTCTTCTAACTGCCACTTTAATTACAAAGTTTATGAAAAAGAAAAGTTCTACAATATAACCTGTATCCTCTGTCAGTTCGTCGTATTCGTATTAAACAAAATTTAATTTATACTTATAAGATTCTATATGGTTATATTAAATTGCTCAAACCAACAAAAATTAATGGGCTAAAATTACTAAAACTTATGTGCAAAACTAAAGACTCAAGATTTCTTTATTCATAATTATTAGAATACTATTAATTATTAGAATAAATTACCGAACGATATGGCTTGTGCTTGGTACTTATAATAACTGAAATAAACGAACGATATAGCTTGTGCGTCATCCCTAACTATCTTTAAAAAAAGATAGATTAGAATAAAAAAAGATTAGATAATATCATTTATGACATTATTTAAAAAGTTCACATCAAGGAGGAAGTGTGAAATCTCGGTTTTTACCATCCGGTTATTTCGAATTATACTATATTATATTATTTTGTAATTTCCTCTTTATCTCATCTCTAAATTTTTTGTAAGTTATTTATTATTTATTGTTAATTTTTTTTTTGTCATTGATTCTTATTATTTGTTATTTTAACTGTTATTAACACAAGCACATGGACCCTTTTGCGCCCTGCTTGGCTGGCTTTCAATAAATAAATAAATAAACAAATAAATAAATAACTATATATAATTAGGATGAAAAAGGGTTTTTATAGCAGTACGGAATTTTCGTTGGGAGCACGGCGATTCTTCTTCCAATATTCTACCTTTACAAAAATTTCTTTTGGGAATCCGCTCCACTATCTTTTTACTGCATAGATTTAGCTTTCCTGCCATACGGGACTCTTCTTTTGAGGGAACATAACGAATTGAACATATTGGTGTCTTCTGATTTCTTCTAAATGATCTTCAGTCAAGTCAATTGAGTCTCCGATTCCGGTAGTTTCTAGAGACCGGAAATGCGACAGATCTTGTTCTGTCAGCGCCGTGAAGGTTGCTAAGCTACGACATGTTCCTTGTTGTGCATGTAACATCCGTTTAAAAGCTTTCCCAGCAAATATTTTACTTAACCGAGAGTCAATTAAATATCCGCCAGAGTCCAGAATCCTTTCTCTCGTCCTTTTTGCCTGATCTCATAAGAGAGAAATAATAATCTGAGCCTATCAATATATCGGGTTTCGCCATTTTTATTACAGATGGTGTCAAAAGCGAGAAGGGTCAATCAGGGCTAAAATTGACTGATATGTACACGAGAGATTTCGAAAGGTGGCTAGCAATAAAATAGTCGCAAAAAGAAGAAACTGCAATTACCTTTAGGCATAGTATCTAGTCAGAAGATTTGGAAATATTATACCCTACCATACCATATTATTCATATTACCAGTATATACAGCCAACCAGCAATGGTGCGAGACATTAGAAAATTCTACCAGCGTTTATTAACGACAGTTCACGAAGCTGATAGAAAGAAAAAAAATTTGCTAAGATTTGCTTATAAAAAAAATAGTCAGATGAGAGAAAATAATAAAAAAAGATGAAATCGTAAATGTCGAGATTCAAAAAAACATGATTTAATAAAAAACGCACCATAAATGCATTCTGCAGAACAAAAAAGAACAATGAGAGAAAAAACAAATAAATATAGAATAACCTAACCTGAAAGCGTGTTGAATAGTTAACGCAGCTTGATGTTCTTTCATCGTCAACTGTGTAGGTGTATTGAATGTCGCATCCTAAAAAATTTTTGAAAGATTTTATTTAACATAAAAAAAACATGTGCAATAATATCAAATTTTTATGGATGAATTTCTAAACAATTAATAAATTTAAAAAATTTGAAAGAAAGTTGGCAATTTTGCAACAAGAATAAGGACATATTTAATTATTCTTGCCGAGTAAAATGCTAAAAGAGAAAGAAAAAAAGAAAAACATACATCATACTGAACATGTTTTATATCATCAACATTAACTGATAAACAATGATTGCTATCACCTCGCATAACTGCCTTATGCATACGAAAATGCTTTTGAATAAATACTGCCGCCTTGTGAAGACGTTTGAAATAGCAAAACTAAATAAATTAGCACTTTAAAATATTATTTTTTTCAATTTCAACCTCTTAGAAAATAACTGAAATTCCTAAATATTTTGTTTTCTTTTAAAAATATGCTTCTTTTATTTCGTTTTTTCTTGCCTCATTTCATTTCATTTGCTTCTTCAATCTTTTCATATTTATCGTTTAAGAGTAAATTTTCCTACGTGAACAATTCCTTTCTATTAATTAGCAATGAAATTAATAATGATTAACCATTCATCTTCATAAAAGGGAAAAAGGAAAAAAAAATGAGATATGTATGAGTTATTCCTAAAGATATCCTCTGCCAAACAAGATGTAAGACTGCATGTCAATAAGCAAAATTCGATAAAATCTGATTAAATTTGCTCAAATATTTACTATTTACTAGCTTATATAGAAAATTAACAATTCTACTAGATTATATTTAAGATAATTAGTAGAAACGAATTCTGCAAAAGTAGAAGAACTGATAATTGAAAATCATTAAAATCATTCAACCAATAATTGAAAATTCAAATAAGAAACAAGTATAATTCCGATTTTTCAAAGTATTTTATATTTGGAATTGATAATTTTTTTGTTAAAAAACAACTTCTAAACCTCAGCAATCCCTTTAATGCTGCTATAATCTACTGGGCGGAAATCAGCCGAACCTTATCAATCAAATCTTTCTTATCTTTTACATGCCGTTCATAAATTAAATTTAATAAGTTAAAAGGGTAAGTTGGGCAGCATAACGCCACGTGTTAATGTCAAAACGATAAATGACAATAAAAAAGAGAAATTCTCCACACTTCTCTCTAAAAATCCTTTTATCTCGCCTTAATCTTTAAATGTGTAAAATCTAATATAATTATAGTCTATGGTAGTTTGAAAGTTTTAGCCCAGTTCTGCTTCCTTTCTGTCATGTCATCTGACATCTGCTTGACATGTTGCATCTGCTTTCCGCTTTGCTTTTTCAATAAACCAAATCATCGCGGGACAAAATTATGCTTCATACATAATTTTCCTTAGTTTGCATATATAAATTCATTTTTTTAGATTTTTTCTTACCAGTTATTCAACTTTTTGTTAGCAATAAATGATGATTTATTTTCTAGGTTTTTGTTCGATAATTGAATGCATTTTACACTTACGGACGCTCTCTCTATTGAATCATATTAAAAGGCAAATATTTCTATTTTTTAAAGACAAAGAATTCTAAAGAACGATCTCAATATTCTCATAAAATATTTCAATCAGCAAACAATTCAAATCTTAACCTAAAATCCAATGCAAATCCAAGGAAATATTCACAGTAAAATGGGCTTAAATGATTTCACGAAAAAAAATCTATTTTTATCACTGAAAAGCTTACTTGCTTGTATCGCCTATAATAGCTCTGAATGAGTATCGCAGCATTACGCTCTGCTTCATTCTGTCGTTGTGTACTAATTCTAGCCTTATATTGACGATAGGCATGTTGTATGATCTTTGCCGCTTCATAAAGTTCACGTTGTTCGCGGTCTGAAAATCTCGAGGTGAGCTAAAATGAAAAGCTTAAACAAAACAAAAAGGTTCTAAAATTTAACAATAGAGAGACTGGGCACCGGCAATTCGGCTAAAGAACGCGTTTATTTAATCTTTTCTATTTAACAAAGAAAGCCTCCAAAAATCAAATAATTTGCGTAATAACTTTCCAATTCCCTCCGAGAAAAATTTAGAACAAGAAAAAACTTTTTTAACTTAATGCTTCTAAAACTGTTCGTCCAATTATAATATCGCCGCCAGCAGTAAAAGCGATTTCGTTGCTGTACTTTTCATTGAATAAAACGATATTAAAAAGCTGTTCAATTCAAAACCAAATATTTCTTTTTTTGGACTATTGCAACAATAAAAAAAAATTCTTTCACGAAATAAGTAATAAAAAGAAATAAGTGAAAAGAAAGACTAAAATTTCTAAATTGGATTAAATTGTTACTAAATATTTTAAAAAAATAGCTGAATCTACTCATCTGCCAACTATAATTTCCTTGAAAAAAAAGAAATTCAGCACTGAACTAACAATGTCAAATAAAAATCCACCCGATTAAAACAACGTATATTTAATTATAAATAAACAACAATAAATAAATATAAATAACTGAAGAACAATAATAAGAATTACTAACAATTATTGCTCCTATTGTTATTATTATTATTAGTGATAGTAGTTGCAGCAGTTGCATTATTTGTATTATTAGAGAAGGAAGATGATGAAAACCGACAGACTATCGATGAAAATCGAGCAGTTCCCATTTGTCGTTCTGCAGTTTATGGTTAACTCGAACTTTGCCAGATATGGAAAGGTTATAACTATTATTATTGCAAAACGGTGAGCTGCAAGAATAGCTGCTTGCGATTCCTTACTTTATAATCGAATAATAATAATAATATAATAAAACTGGTTGCCGCTTGTTGGATGCAAACTTGTTGTTTCGAACTACTGCGATAAAATAGATAGATAAAGGGCGGTGCTGGCTTGCTTTCGCTAATAAAACATGCTGTTCGTTTGTAGGCGAAACCCAATCTCACAATATTTGTAAATTTAACTTAAACATCAAATAAATAAATGATAAAATGATAATGAAAAAATGCGAATCCGAAGAAATGCGAATCTAATATCGAACCGAAGCAATAACTGCTTTCCAAGAAATTTCCAAAGAAAAAACAAATTGGTATAGAATAATTTGCAAAAAGTTGAGACATAATGTTTTAGGAATTTAGAAATGAGGAACGAGATTTTCGGCAAAATTTTTTCTAAGAATACAATTAAAACTCGCAAGAAATAAATGAAGTGATAAATGCAATGCGAAATAAGCCAAAATCCAATTCAGTCCTATCCAATCCAATCTCAAAAATATGCAAATACGATTAAGTGCCCACTTGAAGTCACAAATAATGATGAAGCAATACACTATTTACACTAATTACATTCGAAATTTCACCTTTTCAATAATAAAAACACTCGAAAAAAAAATCGAAATGATACTGACGACTTACTGTCCCCTATACTTTCACCGCTAGGTGACTTTCTGGTGAGAAACGGTCCAAAAAACCAATGGAGCGAACCGGAAATGATGAGGGAGCATTTTAAAGTGAAACAAATAAAACCATTAGAAAAGTTTTATTCGATGATGTTTATTAACAAGTGAAATAATTTTCTCGAGATCCTCGACGAATTTATTCTTCCAAATTCTATTCATTCTATCTAAAAAAATTGGAATTTTAAAGCAAAAATTATGATTGATATCTGAAAAAAATCACCGATGAAGGAGGAGGAGGAAACTCATTTATTAGAGGAAAACTGAATGCATTCATGTTAGATAAAATTTTTGTTGCTTTCTTGTTTTTTGGCGAAAGAATGATGAAACGAGGTTTTTATATAATTTTTAGCGATAGGATACTTGCAATTCTTTAAAACGACCAATTTTCGATTTATCTAATGCGCGAAGAAAAAAAACTTTTGAAACGATTGTTTTTGCCAAAAAATAAATCATAAAACGTTCATTGCAATTAAGGATGCCTTCAAAAAGATTTTCGAAAAATTCGTTCGCACCCATTGAAAATGGAAGAATATCATGCAATCCAAAGACGGAAAAGACATCTATCTACAAGTTGCATTGCAAGAGGAAATATATGGCTTAGACGATTACAATAATTTATGGTAGTTCGACAACTCTGTTGCTTAGTTTGACAAATCCTCGACTTTTCTCGGGTGAAAAATCGATATAAATGATATAAAAAATATCGTTATTCCATTCTTCCTGGATTTATAAAAAAAAGAACTGTGATATTTAGAAAAATTCCATTATGGCAAAATATGAACCGAAAAAATTTCATCTGAAATTTTAATACTTTTAAGAAAATTTACCAAAAATTCAAAAGAATCACACAATTAAACATATCATATTAAAATACATCATCAAAATCACCCGATGAGACAACTGTTCAATCACCTTTTTTCAGTTTTCTTCACCTCACCATCTTCCAAGCTCGGCTCAAGACGTTCTCCTATTTATCAGTCGATAAGCAAAAATTATTTGTAAAAAATTAAACAATTATCTTAGCTATTAAGCCGTTTATCACTTATTTCAATAAAAACCTATCGTTTGTTAATTTAATTCATCTGAAATGAATGAAAAAAAAAGCAACTCTGAAAAAAGAAATTTAATAAAGAAAAAGAAACCATAATGAAACAGAATGGAAATATTTTGAATGAAACATTTATCATTTTGTATCATCTAAAAAAATCCGACGAATCGGTGTAGAAACTCTAATCGGAGATCATTTACAAGCGAATCTAATCCACTAAATCAATATGCTTAATGCAATTTCAGCATTTCGTCCAACGGTGTCACCTCACTTATCATCGTTAAACTCTACGAATTTTTTTGAAACTCTCTGAACTGCCTACAATAAATATTGTACATGAAACAATAGCATTTCACTTAGTGCATCTAAATTCGCTCCGAAAATATTTTATTATTAATTATCTATCTTAAATGATATGTTCAAAAGGATAAATCAATGATTGATTGAATGATACGGAAATGTTACAATTTTAAAGATCAAGTAAAGAATATAACAGGCGTCACTGGATTCCTTAATCTCTATAAATTAACAAACCTAAATAAATTGGATTAAATTTTGAAAATATAATCAAATATAATTATAGACCAATTAATTAGGAAAATCCGATTTTGAAAATGAAGTTCACTTGTCGATGTCGTTTTAAATAGAAAGTTTAGCACTTAATAAAATTCCTTTAATTACAAACATTGGAGAGTATCCATAAGGAAAGAAAATATTTTCCTTTATCACGATATTCCTAAACGTTACGTTATTGTTATCTAAATTACTTTTCTGCGTATTTCCAGTCATGTGCAATTGTTTTCCTTTTATATAAAATCATTTACGCTGAGAAACTTGGAGAAATCACGTAGCTAAACATTTCCAACGAATAAATATTCTAAGGAAATAATGAATTTGAAGTGGCAGTCAAAGAAAGAATAATTAGGAAAAGAACACATTTTTCCTCATATGCATTCTCTTTTTTCCTCAAAAAGTATCGTCTTTGGCTCGCCTATTTCCACTATAATATTTTGTTTTTTTTTTAAATGTTCACCACTACTTCTTAAAATCGCTCCACTGACTTGCCGATTTAGATAAATATGGCATGGAATCCCTTGAAGATAGAGATAGAGAAGTAAGCATCATCATCTAGATTTTTGAAGGCAAGTTTTACCTTCCCGAGAGTAGAACCTCAGCATCGGCGCTCTGAATTGAGTAACAACCCATTGAGCAAATCCATTTACTCAACCTTTCCACTCTTCTTTACTATTTACCTTAGACAACCCTGGCGTCCGACAAAGCGTGGTGCATGGGCCGGATCGGAACCCACGCTTCGATTCTTGATAGCAATCATCTTACCACCAATGCACCAACACCAATACAGATCTATTACTCTTACATAGTTGCTCTTTGAGCAAAAACATTTATATACGGATTTCAAGAAATGAAAATCCCTTTTAAATAATAAATTCATCCTCTCCAGAAGGTAGAAATGAGCACTTCCAATCATCTATCATATAGATTTCTTTGAACCAACAATTTCCATCAACAGAAAAAAATTGAGCCTTTTTATACAATAAAATTTCATGAAGAATATCTGTTAACAAAAGTGGTAACAAAAGTTACTTATGCGATAAATAAAGTTTCTCTAATTCCATAAAAATATAGAATACATTGCAAATGAACGAAAAAACCGTTGTGACGACCAATTCAACAAATTTAACGTAAAAATATTTGTTAGATATTCATCATCATTTAAAAACATGGTTAACTTCAAATCCAACTGGTTAATAAGATAAAATGTTCGAAAAGAGTCCATCAAAATCGTCATGAAGACATATGGAGATGAAATGATCATCAAATTCATCATTATTTTTGTAGCAAGCGTTTTTTAAAATAATTTACTCTAAAGCCTCGTAGGGCAAGTAATTTTTTCCATTATATTCTAGAACAAAAAAAAGAAGAAAAACAAAAAAAATAGAAAAAAAGAAGTAAAAATACAACAATTGATTTTTTTGATTTATCATTTCATTCCACTTTTTTTTTTCATCAAAAATTTTAATTCACTTTAACGAATTGATCGACTATGTTTTCGACTAACGAATATGTTTTTTTTTAGAATAGAATAAAAATACGAAATAAAGTGGCTGAAGTTTTGTCAACATTTTAATTTTATTAATTCTATTAATAAAAACTACCAAAAATTACCTGACAACCTCAGATTTTGAAAATGTTCCTCAATAGGACCAATCATTCCTTCTGTATTAAAAAAATCACCCAAATCTCTGAAAGAAAGTAAATAATAATTACTAATTAAAATCATCGAATTTACAGGCAAAAATATTGGCATAAATTCAAAAATGAATTTGAAAAACCATACAATACCAACCATTTCCGGGCAGAGAGGATAAAGTTTCGTAATTTTATGTATCGTAATTATGAATGTCAAATAAACATTAATTCACCAAACCCCAATTATCAGAGAAAACTGACGATTATATAGCGCTGAATCAGTTACTTGCAAATTTATTACTTAATATTTTCAGAAATATTTCGAAGTTTTCGTTATTTTTTATTTTAAACTCAGATAACTCAAATCCTTTTCACCTACCATTATATACCTGATGTACTGTTATATACCATTATATACCTGATGTACTGTTCTTCAATTCCTTCAATTATTAACATAAAAAAAGAGCATAATTGAGAAAAAATATTAGATAAATATGTTTGAAGCAGAAAAAGCTACTTATTATTACTGGTCACAATATCTCGGGAAGATGTCTGATGATGCATCAGATTATTCGAAGCTGATGATGATCGATCGAATACAGATGATGAGCCATTATCTGCGCCGAATAAATTCATAAGTCCAACGTTTTCGGAAGATACTTCTTGTTCAAGCAATGACGACTGGTTAAGTCTAAAATGTAAGAAAGATAAGAAAGTTTTTAGTAAAATTGCAAAGCAGTTAAGCAGTTAGAGTTACCTATAAACATCATCCAGAGGAGTCATTAGTTCCTCCCAATCAGTGGCATCTGGGTAAGCACTCTGAAGAAATGGATTTTTCGAGTTACATGAAAGTCCTGAAGATAAGGGAGCTGATTTTTCGACTAGATCATCCAATCCATTTGAATCAAGAGAAATTTTTGAAGCCTAAAACCAAATTTTATCAAAATATCGATCAAAGGTAAAAATTTAAATTTAAATAAGATGTATTAGGAATTACTGAAATATTTATTGACTATAAATGCAGAATATCAAAATCTCTCAGAAAATATAGGAAACTATTAAAATGTGGAAATAAATAATAAAACAGTTATTAAAGAATAATTGGTAAACTATTCGGAGCCTGCCTCATTTAGATTGGAACCGGACTCGGTGCTTTGAACTTTTATTCTTGCTGGTAAAGCATCGATTATTTGCTGTGCAAGGTTAGCAATACGCTCACGATTGTTACCTTTCTCCGTGCCATTATACCTGTAAATTTTAACTTCATTTTTTTCATTTAAATTTCGATAAATTTCATTTGAGTTCATCGAATGTACTAACTTTGTCACACCCTCCCAAATATTAGCTACATTACAAAGGTCGGTGACAGGTGTTTCCACTGAACTGTCTATCCAATTATTGACGCCATTCTAAAATAAATTATAGAGAAGCAAAAGTATAAAAAAAATTCTTTCAATATAATGGTTAAAATTGGCTCAAAAATGATAAAACTAATTTTTATTGAAAGCTGAAAACATTTTTGGACCATATCGTGCAAATAAACGATTTTCAATAAAAATTTCAAAAAAAGAAAATTTTCAATAAAATTAATCTAGTAAAAAGTTCTCGAAAAACAAGTCCATAAAGTTTAGAAATATAAATAATCACCTGGTAACAAAGATGAGAACTATGCGAAGAAGCATATGAATCAAACGATTCAACATCCGAAAAAGCACTACTCATCTTCGTCGAATCTAATGAATTTTCACGCTGAAAATCTGTCAAGTTCAATTTGATGAAACTATTTTCTGATTTGAAAATTCAAGATGACAAATAATCTTTAAGTTAAGCTGAGAAATTAAAAAAATATATGGAAAACATGGAACTCTTGCTGATAGCAGATATTGCGATGAATTATAAAATTACTTGTTCAACATTTTCAGTTGCTGATTGCATGCAAGGCAATAGAAGTTGTTCATTTGTTACAACTTCGCCGTTGGTCATTACCCAAAGCGCAGTTGGATTAGGAAGTTCAGTGGCTTCAATTGTCATATCATTTACCTCTGAAATGTAATAAAATTAATGAAAAATTTCTTAAAAAAAAACTGATTTACGATGTATTAATAAGCTCAATATTATTTTAACCGTTCTTTTTTTGTAAGCCATTTGAAAATAATTCCAAAATATCATGATTTCCCAAATTAAGAGCAAGATCTTGTGATGTTTCGCCGAAATCATCAATGACATCAGCAGCGTTTGGAAAAAATGACAGAATCAATTTCGCGCACTCGATGCTCGAATGTAATACAGCAATATGCAATGGAGTACGTCCTCTCGCATCCCTTGCCACAACATCAAAATCTCGAATACTATTAGTCAATGGTACCTTCGACCTGAAATTAAAGCATTCCCATGATGCTCACCAAGGCCGATAGAATAGAATATTGCGTTAATAAGCACGAAAGAAATGTAAGAAATGTAAGAAACTTTATTTAAAAAAAGAGAAGAGCATTTATTACCTATTAAATATATGCAAAACTTGTTTAATCGATTAGAATGACGAAAAAAACAAACTGAAAAAATTTTAAGAAGCCAGGAAAAAAATGAACAAATAAGCAATTTACCCCCAGTGCAAAATAATTTGAAAAATGCGATGAAAGTCAAGGGCCGCACAAACATGCAAAATAGTAAAAGCAACATTATTTGTCGAAGATTGTTCGAGAAGAGATGGATTTAGCTGATAACGCATCATTTCCTTGCATATATTCAATATTTCATCTTCAGTTTGTAAATCTGACAAATTATAATCCTGAAGAGACAAATTTTATATATAATGGATTTATAATTTATAACTTTTATAATGAATTCACGATAATTAATGAATAATAAATCTAATGAACAAAATAAACTTATAAATAAAAACAAAATTTCCAGCAATAATACAAACATTTGCTAAATGATCCATTATGAAATAGGATCGAATAAATGAAATCCTTTTATAAAGCATAATCATCAACATTTCTTTTTCCTTACGACTGGTACTATCGTAATAATCGATATAAACAGGGTGAGATATAAGCATACCATCACAAAAAACTGTTACTTCAATTTTCCCAACATTGTTGGCTATAAAAAACAATTTGCTTACTGAAAAATGACGATTAAATTACTAGATATTCAATTTTTATTTCATATATTGAAATGAATTTTTCAATTTTATTTTTACTTCAAAAAAATCTGATTTTTAAAAGATGAATCTGAAAAATCCGAAATCCGAAATAAATATATTTAATATATACTCGAAAAAAAATGCCACTAACGAGGAGCAAAGCAACGTATGACACCAGCTTGACATAAAGTAGCAGGTACCATTTTATCACCGAACACCACCGCATAATTGTGGTCACGGAGATACCACCCTCCCACCAACAACACTTTCGTTCCCCCCTTCAAACAAAAGGTGTATATGGTTGATGGCTTCAGAAAATATAATATAATTGATTAATTTTTAAAATGAATTCGCGACAACTTATACAAACATTGAATGCAAATTTTCTGGCCGCAAATTTTTTTGGTCTATAAGCTTTATTTTTCTATTATAAGAAACATTTAACTATATATTTAAAACTAAACTAAAAGAAAAAACTAAACTAAAAGAAAAAACTAAAAGAAAAAAACTTTTAACAAAAATAACAATCTTTTCAAAAATCAATAAACAAAATAGATCTAAATACATATATACCACAACATGAACGCTATCAGGTGAGTAATCCACGATTTCAGTAAGAAGTGATACGCATTCAGATCGATTTGAAGACTGAGTCAAAGCAGTAGATATGGAAGCAGATAAGTCATCAATAACCGAAAATGAGGAAACAACCTAAAAATAATTTTTATATTTAATTGTAAACTATTTTTTTCTACGAATTTAACAGATATTTTTCAATAATAACAAACTGATGTATAATCATCGGTATTCACTTTATCAATAATATGAAATTAACATTCATTACTTATAGTTACAATTAGTAAGTACAAACAGAATCGGATTCGACAAACCGCCCCATCGAGCATGGTACTGAATATGAAATACATTTTTGAAAATCACAATTTACATTCTTCAGTGAACTTTGACCCCGATCATTTCCTGAAAATAAGAAGTAGAAAAAATTAATAAAACCACAAATCTATGAAATCTACATTTCAACATCCAAATTATTCAAAACTATAAAATTCCATTACAAATTCCTTTCCATTTTCTAAACTAATAGTTTTTTTAAAAGTCTTTATTAATGTTTACTTTCTATTTGTCTGACAAGAATATCACTATTAGATGAAGGCTGCCGCCGTATTGCAATTGGTGTATTCACTGTACTGCTACAACTATTACTTTTCTCCAGTGTTGCATGTCTCGATTTAAATTTATTTCTGTCAGTTGCTTTTTCATTCGCATTGCAAATCTAAATAGAATTATTTCTTATAAAGTGAACCATTAAAAGTGATCATTTCTTTAAAATTGATCACATAGAATATACTAATCAAGCTTATAAAAATATTTTGTTTAAGTATGAGGTAATAGCATAAAAAACCAATAACTAATTCGTAATATGGAAAAATATAAAAAGGAAATGAATAAATTAAGAACAAATTAAATTAAGAACCTGGTTTGAAGGACTGAGATTTTCATATACACTGACCATCAGATTTTTAATTTCAGTAGGGTGCATTGAAAAAACTGAAATCATTACGTAAAAGAGATGTCAACATTTGGTCAAATCACAAATTTAATATAATTGGAATTAACTACTAGTAAAAATCATTGAAATTAAAAAAGGAATTGATTCAATGATGCTAAATTAAGCAAAATCGAAAAACAAATTTCCACAAAGAAAAAATATACTTTAACAATTCCGATCGACTTTGCTGACATCTAAGAAATTTGAATAAACTAATTTTTGCCTTGGTAAATTGTAAAAGATGATAAATTGCAACAAACCCTCAATTAACAAAATCTTAAAACGAGCAAATGATCAGTTCCCTTTGAAGGCATTCGATCAACAATTCATAAGGATTACGAAAAGGATTATAAAATCTCTTCTTTACCCCTTTTCTCCTCCGTGGATAGAAATATATAGAGTTACAATCCAAAAAGAAAAATCGAATGGCTAGGTACCATAAAGCTTTAGTAAAACGTAATGCATGACCTATGATTGTAAGATTTTATCGTACGAAAGGTAATAGTATTTTACGCTTTATTAATTTATTTTAACTGGATTGTTCATTTTATTAAAGAACCAATTTTCAGTGGTCATAAATCATCATAAACTGAGCGTTGTACACAATATCATAAAATTAATTTGAATTAATTAAAAATTTCTTACTTACTTTATTACTTTACTTTATTACAAAGTTACTTTAGTAAAATATTTCATTTTTTTGTTCTATTATTTTATATTTTACGTTATTTATGTTAAAAAAGGTATTAAACACGGTTTTAGCCTTCCTTAAAGAATTTAAAAAACTAGGAAAACTAAAAAAAAGAAATGAGTAAATATACAAATTTTTTGGATTTGAATTTCGAGCTGAGCCCTTGAAAGCTTAAGGCCGCTAGATCGGATCGTTTGAGCGATACGCATATGTAACGGTTGGCTATCACGTTCTTCCGACGGAACGTTTAAATAATGAACAAATACGACTTCAGGGTTCTTAAAAGATAAATATCACATAGTGATATAATAATTTGTGATAGTGATCATAATAGCTTCAATATTTTCTAGGTTCGCTAGCTAGAAACTCACATTAATTAACCAGTAAGCACGACGGTGAAAAGAGGGAACGATGGCTGAATGCACATAGCTGCCAGCAAGTACATCTTGCTTTTGAATTTTCAGCTTCACATGATCTTCACGGATTAATTTTCCTTCTTTCCTCCTTTTCCAATCATACCTTGAAATTTTCATGATAAGAAGTTAAAATTAATTTTAGAAATAAAAATAATTTTAATAAAAAAAAAACGGCTAATACCGCTGATATTATGAGCAGCAAAAGTATTAAAGAATAAAAAAATGAACGAGAGCAAAATTATCTAAAATATTATCGTAGAAAATCATTCAGCCATTAAATGAAACAAACAATGACTCTTTACAATTAATTTAACGCAAAAAATTAAATGTAAGCATAAAAAAGAAGAAAATCTTACCCGTCTTGCTTAAAATAAACTCCGTCGAGACGCCTAAACAATTTTTGGGTAGAAGAAACTGGAAAAACAGAAACTTCAGAAGAAATCCATTCTGGATGATTCTGTGCGGAAAACAAAATACTAGCAACATCCTAAATTGCATAATGAAAATTAATTTACTTCTTTTTTTCCAATTTTCCTTTCTAAAATTTCATTTTTTCATCCAACTGTTTTTTTAATATAAATATCTCAATTTTAAAAATAATTAATTTCCATCTTCGCAGAACCGTCAAATTCATTTTTCTTGTTAAAAAAACAAAAAAATAAAAGGACGCACCACCTAGAGAATAGGAAGCTAAATACTACCTCGTTTGAATTCCATTTGGTGGAATTGGATGGAAATTTCTCTAAATCGGTTAGAAGATTAATAATATGAGTAGTCATAATAAATCTTAATCAGTTTCTTTGGTCCATATTCACCGTTCTGAAATATTCTATAAAGCAAAATAGAAGTGATATCCCATGTTTTACCATTTCGGCCTTAAATTATATTTTCAAAAGTATTTAAAATCCGTTTTCCCTTTAATATAGAAAAAATAATGCAAAAAGATTGGATAAAACCTCAAGAAAATTATTTAAAAAGTCATTTAAATTTTAGAATAGATTTCAGAAATTTCAAATTTCAAAATTTTTTTGCTTCGTTTTAGAACAAAAGCTGTAAATCACATTTAAACATCGAAAATTCTAATGAAATGCTTCAACTAACAGTTTTTCCTTCTATCCCTTAACTATTAAAAATGAAATCTGTGTAATGAAATACTGAGGATCTACGCATATTTCCAACTTCAAGAAATAGCCCAAAAAAACAGCATCTAGTAGACAGTAATGATCAAAATAGAAACACTGTTATTAGGAGAAAAGCAAAAAAGAAGAAAAATTATTTATTTATTAGATCAATTTTCTTTCATTTATTTAAATATTTAATATATTTAATATTTAATATTAATATTTATAATATTCAATATTTAATATTCAAATATTTATTTAATTTTAATTCGTTTAAATTGTAAATTTAATTTGTATCGCTGTTACGATTTTTAAGATTATAAGATTTTAGTTTCACCAAGAAATCTTATTTTCCATCATTCCAACGTTATATTACTTCCACTAAAATTATTTTATATTTTATTAAAAGCTAACAGAAATTGAGGAAAAAAATAATGCTATTTTTATCGAATTCCAAAAATAAGCCATATAATTAATTAAAAGTAAATAATTAAATATTTTTAAAGAAATCCATGTGAAAATGAACTTTTTTATTATTTACTTCAGTTTTAATTATTTGCTTTTCAATTATAATGATTAAATATTCTTTTAATTATTTTTATTCTGCAATTAATTATTTTGATATTTAATTATACTTATTAAGGTATAATTACACTTATTAACTTCTTTTTGAAAAGTGCTTACCATTTTTGAATAGTTGCGCACCGGTTTTGTCACATTAGACAAATCAACTGACGATAGAAGCACAAGTAAATCGCCACCTGGATTTTGCAAAAAAGTTTAATTTTGCCGAAAATAAAACTCTTTCCCCTAAGGGCGCTTCAAAATGAAGGAAGAAACTCACTCGTTCAATACCTATTTATTATTTATCATTAATTATTATTTATTATTATTAATTAATTTTTATTTATTATTAATTTATTTATTAATTTATTATTAATTAATTTAATTTATAAAAAGCTAACACGAAACAGAGGAAAAAAATAATTTAATAGTTCGTTTCGAATTTGATTTCGAAGCAAACAAATCGAAGAATTATAAAAAAAAATCGAAAAATGAAATCAAAAAATTTATTGAAAAAAATTTCATTTTATATAGAGGAAAGTTGGAGTAGTTCAATTTTATTTTCATTTGAAAAAAAAAGCACTGAATAGCATAATCACTGTAATCAACGACTCAAACTTTAAACAGATTTCTTTAATATCGTCAAAGTTTTCTTATTCACACTTTAAATCTAAGGAAAAATTTTTGACATGAAAGAGTTTCAAGTCAATAAAGCCGAGTTACTAGCTCGAGCAATTAGTCTGAGTTCGAGCCCAATAAAATATAAATATCTAAAGGGGCCAGCAGCTTGCCAATAAAAATATTAAATACTCCAATGGTTTACACATTTCCGTTCTTTTTTTGAACGTTTTAAACTAAAAATAAATTTTTGCGAATTTTATCGAAATTATCGAGCAAGAATCGAACAAAACTTTAAAAAATTTTTAAAATTTAAAAATTTTAATTTTAATCTGATTTCACCGGACCAAACTGCGGCCTTAAACGACTGATAATACGGCCCAATAATTCAAATGTTAATGGCTGCACCGCATTTCGAAAGCAGCGCCATTTTTTTTAATCGAAAATACGCAAAATGAGAAATGATGGGAAATTAAATGATTTGTCCTGACAGTTTAACACAAAAAAAACGTTCCTTTCATTTATTAATGAAATTCCTCATAAATGAAAACAAATTTTGATAAATTTTTAGTAAAAAATATTAATTGAAAATAAAATAAAATTGTAATATCCTAAGCGATTCATTCTTATAATATTAGTAAATATTAAGCTATTCAAAGCCAAACAGCGGCCGAGCAACCCCGACCCCCCAATCCCCTCCCCCCCAACTCCCTCCGCCTCCCAAAATTGTAAAAAGAACCATCAAGCACAACCTTTAAAATTAGCTTGGCTTATCACGGATTGCCTGCTACAAAATAGATTGAAATTCTGGAACAGTGCCAACATTCGCAGAAACACCGCCCACCATCGTTTTCATGCACAGTGTATTGACACACTTTTATGATAATTAATTAAATCAATTTGCATTATACAAGTACTGTAGTAGGAAATTGCGAAATTGCGCATAATCGTCGAGTCTGACCTTTTGACCCCGAAAGGTTTCTGAATTTTTGGCAAACAAACTTTTGAATTTGATTAAATTAGCCGATCTGGTAAATGATAAGATTCTTTGAATTTTGCTTAAAATCTGATCACTTTTAATAAAAATAAAGTTTAAACAAATTTTTTAAAAAAAGCCGTGAAACAATCGCCCTAAAAGATTTCCAACATTATATTCAGTCTTACGAATATTATTTTTATTAATATAATATTAATATTATTGTTTATTATTATTATCATTTAATTAATCATTTACATTCATTATTATTGCTATTTATCATTCATTATTAATTATCATTTTTTCATTCATTTATCTATTCGTTAATTCAAATATAAACCAAGCAGAGCGTAAGTGAAGAGAACATAATATAATATTAGGCGTATGCTCAATCTTTTGGGGTCCGCACTGAGTGAAGAGGAAGCAGCACAAATACACAATATACACAGTTAGGAAGGAAAATTGGAAGAAATGTGCCAGAAAACTTTATTTATTTATAATTTTTATCATAAAATTAAAAGGAAATGTGGAAATATAAATTAAAGTGAATCTTCATCTTATTTTGAAAAAAAAGTGCACAAAGCAGTTCGATGCAAGTAAATGACGGAAGCAAAAGTGATGCAGCGAGTTCTCAAGGCTTTCTTAGGCGCCGCAGCTCGGACAAGCCCGGTGTAAAGTCGAGGAGCACAAATAACGACACTAAAATTTGAGACAACAATTTTTTTGGATGATACTATAAACAACTCTGCTACGATTGCTTTTAAAACTGAATGGACAAACGATATCACATGGTAACTTGTTCGAGTAATTAATTCTTACTTGTGAGAAAGTGCACTGATTTCACACAAAGGCAATTTCAGTCCATTGCCACTCGTAGTATTAAAATTATTATTATTAGAAAGTTCAAAGTCAGCAAAAAGTAAATTGGAATTTAACTATTTTATCATTAGAAACTTTATCGACTTTAATCGTCGTTTTCAGCAGGAAGATGAAAAAAAAGATATGTTTTCGGTGGAAGATCATAAATTATGTAAGCCTTTCCGATAGAAATAATCTCGAATGAGAGGCAATGAAACTGCTGGCAAAAAGAAAAATCAGGAAAAAAATCCAAAATACAATATTTATTAATGGTCCCCGGCAAATCGATCTCTATTCGGATTAGATTTTACTGTTAAAGAGATGCTTGAACCAAATGGGATGTGATTCCTAATAAGAGATGAGAATCAACTGAAGAGAGGTGTTATTTGGATAATCGGGCTTTAACAATTTTCTTATAAGTTCACGCGATACTGGTAAAATTGGTGAAAACCAGGATTGATCTTATGCAACCACTTTTTTGTAATGGAATTATGTATACATGCAAAACAATTATAATGGAATTATATATTCATGAAAAGCAGACTTTAATTCTGTACACATGGCCAAAAGTATTATGAATAGTAAATTATATTAGAATAACCATATTTTAAGTCTTAAAAATAATTTAGACTTGGTACGTGGCCTGGTATAAGGCTCAGGTCAGGCTCTTTAAAAATACTGGTCAATTATTTTAATGGCTTTAGCTATATTAAAGTAAGCAATAAAGTTGATGAATAGACAGAAAAATGAGCATAGAAGCAATTTTACTCATTTTACTAAAATTGACTCTTTTGAATAAATTATATTCATTGGAAATAAAAAATAAGGCTTTAAAAGATTGGAATAAAAAGCTAAAAAATTTGGAAAAAGAAAACTAAACTTTTGATTTATTAAAATAGGTAAATCCGTGACCCTTATTTTTGTTGCATGTGGACTTCTTGGTAAAATTTTTCTACTCCGACGGAGCCAACGGAACGAACTTAATGGTGAAAGTTCTTAGAAAGAAAAAGAATTGGATAAATAGGTGTTATTCAGTGTTATTCAGTTCAGGACAAAAAATTTTTTGCCTTCTTAACAGCAATTAACTTTTTTTAAAACTCAGAATTTATTTCCAATTTTTCATTTCTGAAAACCTCCCATCGTTTTTTTTCCCTAAGTTTCGTTAAATAATTTGTTTGGCAATTCCGAATTGCTATTTAAAAGTTTGTTATTTTTTCACCGCAAAATTGGAGTAATTAGGTAAAATCCTTTTCATCTTATACATAGGCTGAGAAATTCTTAGTATTATTGAAGTTGCTAAATTTTAACAAATCTACTTTAATACTAAATGGGATTTAAATACTACTAAATGGGACAAGAGACACGAAATTCCAGCTGGGATAGCCATAGCGAGAAATGTCTTCCTTCGTGTAACGAAAATTCTTTCGAGATATTAGTACAAGAATGAAAGTTCGATGTCATCCAGAAGCAGGACGTGATATCTTGTTATATAGCTGTGATACATGGTTAACGAAAGCAGATGCAGATATCTGCCTATCTTTTATCATTCGGCCTTAGATGCACTTTATTTTACGATGGATCGAATCTCATACATTCGCATGCACTTTCGCTCTATCATAATTTTTTCATATAGCGCCCTCTG